CAACTCATTGCCCATCTATACGGACCTGTCCTGGCCAATGCCCACCCTGCCCTCCCAGGCCCATGGTCCAGCCCGCTGTCCACTCTGACCTGTCAGCCCTTCCCCGTGCTCAGTGAGGGGGGGACGGGCGTTCTGTCTGCAGGACCACCTGCCCCACCCTATCCAGTGAGCCCTGCTTCCCCCAAGGGGGGACACCCATGCCACCTCCTTGAGTAGCCTAGTCCCCTCTCAACCCGGCGTTCCCGGCAGCAGAGATGTTTGCACAGTTGTCCTCACCGCACCTGGGAGCCGTGCGCTTGGCCTGTGCAGTGAGTTATGGGTGGCTGAGTGTGAGGTCAGTGGTTGGAAAGCACCGGCCAGGAGAAAAGGCGAGACTGCCGACTGCGGTAACACGCTAGCCACAGAAGCTCACGGGACAGCTCTGCCTGTCCTATCACAGGGCTGTGGCGAGTCCTTCGGCGCAAGGGCAGGGAGTTGGGTTTGGTTTGGACCTGAGGCTCAGTGGGGAAACACCGCAGGTCCTGTTCCTGAGTCTTTGATCCCGGGGCCTCCCGGGCCGGTTGGGCTCCCTGAGCTCAACAAGGGAGGAGTGCACTGCACTGGTGCCCAGGAAGAGAGCAAGGGCATTCTGGGAAAGTCTGGAACACTGGGCGAAGGGTCCAACTGACAGAGAGGCATGTGAGCATTTGCCATGGGGGGAAAAGGGCACCTGGACACTTGCCATCTCGGGTCGCCAGGTGACTGACTCCCATGGTATATGCTCAGTGCACTTGCAACACCAGACCTGGGGATGTGTGAGGGTCCCGGGCCGGCCACTGCCCATAATGCCCCATACAGCCCGTACAGGACCCAGGATGGCTCACTGAGGTGCCTGCCTGGTGGTGTAGGTAAGAAAATGCGTCTCGGGGAGGATAGGCATCTCCCGGAGTTACACCGCCCACATGGGATTGCAGCAGGATTGGAACTCGGGTCTCTGAGCCTTCCACGCCGCTGCCCTTGGTCTCACTAGCAACTCTGTGCTAAGGGACAGAGGAGGGCGACTACTGAAACCCGTTCCATAGCAAGCATCTGGAGCTCCCGCTCAGAACCGGCCACATGACCCAGGAAGGCATTTCAGAGGACACAGTCCAAGGAGGGGTTAACACCTTGAGGCTAACACCCTTTGCCCAATGGCTTTGCTGCTGGAAAACTCCCCAAAGAACCCTCCCTGTCCTATCGGTCAAGTCAATTCCGACTCCTAGCAACCCTGTAAGACAGGGTAGAACTGCCCCTGTGAGTTTCGAGACTGTCGCTCTTTTCGACTCCAAACAAACTCGCAGCCATCCAGTCCACTCTGACGCACAGTGGCCCTGCAGGACAGGGTGGGACTGCTCCTGTGGGTTTCTGCGGAGTCGAAAGGCCCGTCTTCCCCCAGCAGAGACCTGGTCATTTTGTTAGGTAGGCTAGTGTAGGGCTGGGGGGTGTCTGTTAACGCAGGCCCAGAGGGCCAAGCTACGGAAACGAAGGAGTGGCACGCTGCACATGCTCAGAGGTTCAAGTTTCCGCTGGGTACGCGTGGGTGGGCGCTGAACCTGGATTGGCCCACCTAGGCCAGGTGAATTCAATTCAGCCATGGGGGTTGTCCACCATGCCTCCCTGCGAAATCATTGCAAAGGCAGATGCCTGGAGTCGAGCGGCAGAATTTTGGCGGAACTTTGGGACACTTTTGTGTGACACCGAGCAGCTACCAGCCAGGCGGCATGTTTGGGAGGAGTCCTATGGGTGCCGTGTAAACCTGAAACTTCTTCTAACTCTCATAAAACTCACTTGGATCATGAACCAGGCTTCGGCGTGAATTCTTTCTCGCGCGGAGCCAAGGACCGAGGTATAGATCTAACTCCAGAGAGATCTAACAGTTTCAAACTGGCAGCATTGTAGCTAGTGAACTAACATGTAAACCACTGTACTGCCTGGACAAAGGTGGGTTGTACTTTATCCCAAGAGGACGGAAGGGTCCCTGGTGGTGCTGCAGTTAAGCACTCAATGGTTCATCAAAAGGTTGGCAGTTCAAACCCACCCCGATGGGCCGCAGGGATAGACCCAGTGTGCTGCTCACACACGGATCACAAGACGCAAGTCCCGATGGGGCAGTTCTGCCCCACCAAGTGGGGTCGCTGTCAGTCAGATTCGAGTCTGCAGCACCCAGTGACGAGGACAGGAGTCACACGCTTAAAGCCACCTTTTAGTGACATGGGAAAAGGTGCTCAAGGAAGGAAGCAAGAGAGAACTGTGCCCTGGCTCTGGGAGCGGGGGACTTGGCCGGCCGACGTTCGTTTTC